GTACATCCTTGAAACAGTACAGTTACAAAACATGACAGAGTGTAAGGTCATCGTGCATTGTATATGGTGACTAGCGTACTATACAGTAATCTAAACAGTAATGGAGACAGAGCGGGGGAACAAACAAAACACCGGCCAAGCCATAGCCATGGCAACTTCGGCAAACCTCGCAGTGAGGCACAAAGGCTAAGGACTATGACAAAGACGGAGACTGAACCATATGCCATGCGCTCCTAGCTCCGGATGCTGGTGGCTGAGCAATCTGATTTACATATGATATAATAAACAAAGTGACTAAAGCCCAGTGAATAACAATAAATGCGTAAAGGGGTTTGAAAATGAATTCCTTACACAGTCAATGAAAACAGTTCAACTTCATCAGTATTAGTGTTCAGTACAGGTAAAGCAGTCATATGTGGTACACTCCACTGTTTAGCATTACAGTGACAGTAGGTTAAAAGACTGACACTAATGATGGCCATCAGTCAGTAAACATGTATGGTTCACGTGGGGAACTTAGACGAGGAGATCTACTGTAAACAACAACAGCCACAGTAAACCATGTGGTATGAAGATGCCACATGTACAGTTTCAGAAATAAAGGACATACTTCATTCAGTAACACCGAGCGATTAGTAAAGACAGTTAGTTCCAGTAGTATTCAAAAGATATCAAGTTGAACATATCTTTACACAATTTTATCTGCTCCACAGAGTTCGGGCTATACAGTAAGCTAGAGCCGTGTCTCCCCAGCTCGCCAAACCCTACAGCTTAAACAGTTAACAGGTTGGTAACCACACTACACTACACAGAAATAAACATGTGGGCAAAAGATAACAACTTAATACCCATCGTGCTTGATGCATCGGTGTGTTACAATCTATTCCTCCAAGATACCTTAAACAGCCTAAAAGAAATGCTAGAACGGGATGAGGATCAAAGATGCACATTTTAAAAGCATTTTCAAATAAAAAAAAACAGAGTCCCGCTCGAGGCGCATGTTTCCCCGCTCCGAGCGGAATCATGAACAAGGTACACGAATAAAAATAACAAAGATATACATACAAGAAGACAAAAAAAACAATAAACAAATTAAGACAAACAACGTAATAACGAGCTCGTAGCGTAAAACTTTTTCACAGCTCCATCAGAGCGTATACTGTAAAGTACTGGATGGGTGAAAATCCCTCGGCTCTCGATACTGGGATCGCGTAGCTGGGTGAGGGTTTGTGAAGGGTAGTTCAGAGGCGGGTATATATGTATTACTGAGTTAAGGGTCGAACTGAGGGTTCGAGTACCAGCTTTCTAGCAGTAGATAACGTATCAAGATGATAGCATCGCTAGGACGCGGTAAGACGCAAGGTCTGACGCGGCTTGAGCTTGAGAGACATGACTCCGCCTCGAGCGCCCAATCCTCTCGCCATCGAGCGGCATAAGGGAACGCAAAACAGTGCAAAAGAGATCTGGTATGCTCTCGCTTTCCAATACGCTTCCGTAAGCGTTAACTTATCCCCCCCCTCGAGCGCGCGAAGTGCCGAAATCTTGGAAAAACCCAAGATTGCAAACCTCCAAGCTCAAACCCAGTTTAAATCATCAAAAACTGATCCTCTGGCTCATTTTCTGAAAACATTAATAAACACATAAATACAGTGGCTCAAAGCTCATTTTCGAGAAAATCAAAGCAAGGGTGTTTATTTCAAACGCCAAGGGTGGTTCTAATTCCACAAACCCAAATTTCAAAAAAAACAAAACCCAATTTCAAATCATGTTTCAAGAACATGAATCTTCAAACATGAATGCATGATTCTTAAATCATTTTTTTCAAGAGCTTTAAGCTGTTTCAAAAGAGCTCAAGCCTTTACCTCAAAACAGATGAACTCATGAGGAGTTGACCAAAGATTGGACATGCATGTGAGGTAAATGAAATGACACACACTCAAAACTTCAAAATATGTCATCAATGCGAAACACTTAAGGCCGTGTCATTCAACTCCACAATTAATTGCCGAGAGCCCAACAATGGCATTCCGACTTATAGCTTAAACCTTCTAACAATCTAACATGAGACCCATCGGCAGAACTGACAATCAAAGATCCACTCAAAAACAAATGCAACAAAAAGAACAATGGAGACGCTAGACCTTGGGATGAAGCTGCCCGAACCTCATATTATTTCCCATGGACTTTTGACGTAGTGGTTTCAACTCAGGGAAGTTGGAGGTTCCAAATACGCGAACTTCCAGGCAACTTGAGCGTCAATATTCCCACTATGCACGCTTTCAAGCACAAATATCCAAACAAGCAGAAGTCTTCAACGTCATAGCGTGAAGCACAGCTCCTACTGACCGCTGCGCCTTATCGAGGATGATTGGTCTGGGCCATTCTATAGCTTAAGGTGCAACTGTCTGGCTCATCACGACATCTCTGCACTTAAACCTTGGGTCGGTTGAGGCAAGATAAAGGTAAGACCAAATATGCGTTTGTTTTCTTGATTTCAATGTACTGGAGGTGGGATACTGACCACAGGTTTCAAGAGATAGTGGTCACGAACCTAAGTTCGGGAACGAGTAATTAAATAAACTATTTAGTCGATTAATTCGATTAATGCTAATTTAATCAATACTAAATAATTTTCAGAATAATTAAGCTATAAAATCAATTATCTAAGGATACATGAACACTAATCGGTTTCGATTCGGCCGCCGATAAGGCCCTTCAATTAGCAGTTCAAACAATATAACATTAACAGATTAATCATACAGATCAAACAGATTAAGAAATGCAATTTACACCTAACATATACTCAATCAATTCGGTTTCAATTTCAGTCAGTCAGTTTCAGTACTTTAATATCAGACTTAATTACTCAAGTCATAATAATTCAGGTTTAACGGTAAATGCGATGGTTAATCGGTATCAATCAGTCTCGAAAGTGGTAAACGTCATTGAGGGGTTTGTGTTCAGTCTCCCCTCCTTATAAAGAGTTTAGTCCTCTAAACTCGAATTACTCTTCATTTGGAAGAAAACAGGATTCAGTGGAAACAGTTTCGGATACGTTTGGCCATGTCATTTCCCTTTCCCAAGTGGCATACACGCACCGTGGTTTGGCCAGTCAACTTGTCACTAACGGGATCTCTTTGTTCCTCAGTTTTCATCGATTGTTCGTGTTTACAATCTGTATAGAGGCCGTTCCTCGTAAGTGTAGTCATCGGACGTGCAACAAACAGCCAGGGGTAAGGGCTCTATTTAACATGGGCAAAGGATCCGGAAAGGATAAGTTCTCTCAACATAGCAGAGTGTGGAAAACGTTATGCAATGTGCTCCATTTCAGGAGGAGCAGCAACTTGATACGCGCAGCGGATTTGAATTTTCTCAAATGATCTCTAATGGTCCGACGTTCTCGGTGCCTAATTGGCTTTGGACTCCAAAACGAGTCTGCCTTTCATGGTGTCGGATTAGGTCCCTGTACTGTGTGACTGTAAATATTGTGCATACTGTTCTGTACTGTTTATGTATGAACGCATGAAAAATCTTTTTGGCATGCAGACTGTTACAGCTCATTGGACATTGTTTAATTACTGTATTGGCTTCCGCCAGGCCCTGTACTCTGTTTTACTGTATTACTGTTCTACAGGCCTTCGGTAATCTCAGATTACTGGCCGATTACGGTGCTAAACCCATAGGGCCGGGTTTGGGTCGTGACACATTCGATACAGGTAATATTTAATTTAGGGTGTTTACCTTTGACATGCATAGACGTTAGGGAAATTGAACCTCATAAGGAATTATGAACTTTGTCTTATTCTTTGCTTTATGTTGGTTTACTTTACACTCCACAAGGTCAATCTCGACCTCCTTTTGCCATGGGTCGTAGTAATTACGTTCAGGTAATATTTCATATTGTATGTTTTTAAAAATGAAAATACATTATTATGTTTTTTTGATGGACATTCTTCTTTTATTTGTGTTGGTTTACTTTAGGGTCATGGTCGCGAATCCCAATCTCAACTTTCTTTTGCCACGTGTCATACTAATTATGCCGAGGTAATATTTCATATTGTATGTTTTGTAAAATGAAAATACATTATTACTATTTTTCATTTCATACTTTATTTTTTTACGTTGGTTTACTTTAGGGTGATGGTCGTGCAACCTATATTTCTCAACCTCAATCCCAATCTGGACCTGAATCCCAATCTCAACCTTCATTTGCCATGGGTCGTACAAGTGTACATCATGTCATGTATCCTACATATGATATGAGTTGTAATTGGTTACATACTTTACATTGAAAATGTAGTATAGATTCTAAAAAAATTTTAATACATGTATCACTATTGCAGGGAAATAACATGCCTCAGTCAATGCCGCCTGATTCAATGCCTTTACTGTATCCCACTCCGACATCGTTTCAGAAATTGCTTCGAGATAGTACTGCAGTCCAACTGTCACAATCCTCACATAGTCCTGTTGACAGTCGTGTGGATGGACATCCCTGGAAGGCTTGCACTGAACGATGATGTTATTATATTTGTGGATTTGGGTGTATTTTTTTTTATGTTCGGTGCGATTTGGATATTTTTGATGGACAATTTTTTTTATGTATTTGTAATGTTTTGTGGGATTTGTATAATTTTTATGGATATATTTTTTATGTATTTGTAATGTTTGGTGGGATTTGAATTTTTTTATGGACATTTTTTATTACACCCAAGAAGGGGTGAGAGTTTAGTATTAATGTATTCATGTTTGGTGGGGATTTCAATGTTTGCGTACATTTTTTGTTACACCCAAGAACGATGATGTTTTTTTACTTCACATGATAAATTCTTCATTAATACGGTCAGAAGTTTGATTCATAGTTTACTCTATTTTTCCATTCAATTTAAATTCTTCACACGCCATTTTTCACATTTGTTTAAAAATGTAATTTCTAGAATTGTTTAGTTTACATTCTTAATTTCTAGAAAGTGCACAGCTTTAAACTTTGCATGCCATATGATACCAATTCTCACAATTGGGATATTCAAAATAAGAATGGAGATATATAATGCTTTAGTTTGGATGACATCATTAAAAACTAAAATCAATGTTTCTATGTCAATTTGAATTTTAAAATTTCCTGTTTTGATTACACCCTGTAATGTAATGGACAGGTTGAACTTATTTCCGGTTATTTACTGTTTTGATTACACCCTGTAATGTAATGGACAGGTTGAACTTATTTCCGGTTATTTACTGTTTTGATTACACCCTGTAATGTAATGGACAGGTTGAACTTATTTCCGGTTATTTACTGTTTTGATTACACCCTGTAATGTAATGGACAGGTTGAACTTATTTCCGGTTATTTACTGTTTTGATTACACCCTGTAATGTAATGGACAGGTTGAACTTATTTCCGGTTATTTACTGTTTTGATTACACCCTGTTATTACATTTTTATAACTAACACGATCCCAATTACAAGCAAGATACACAACCCATAAATACGACTCGAATTTTGATTTATGTCTGTTTCCAACTTAAGCATCTTCGCCCTCATAAATTGCAGTTCTTCGCTTTGAAATCGAAGTTGTTCATTCATAAGTCGAAGTTGTTGTTCGGTGACAGTTGACATATTTTCCATTTGCACTACTCCTTCACGTCTACCTTGTGAATTTGTAGGCAAGCACCATCCCATAAAATCGCCGCAATTTTTACAACAATAAAATAATTTGTTTCTGTTTTGTTCCGTCTCCGAAATTTGAATAGTTGCTTTCTTATGACATTTAGGGCAATTTCTGTTGTTGAACGTCAACTGATCTGAGGTACCTCCGTTAACAGTTGAACTTGACATCTGCAAAATTATGCACACAATTCATAGTAAAGTTATATACACATTCAACTTGAATCATATCATTCCTACATACACCTACTTTTCAATCTTTTGGTTTTTGCTTCTTTTTTTTAAAAAAAAAAAAAAAACCTCTTACGTTGTCCTAAACAGGAAGGTTATTAAAAAAACTTTTAGGTTGCCCTAAGCAGGAAGCTCTGACACTTCCCTCAAGTTAGGGTAAATTTGCTATATTTACATTTGCATATGTATGCATGCATACAAGCATAAATTATATCTATCAGATCTAATTAATTGCACATTTCATTTAATCAATAAGTGCACTTGACAAATGGATCTATACTTGCATTAATAACTTCAAGATCCAAACATATTGTTGAAGTTATGTATGCCAAACATATTTATAACTTCAAGATCCAAACATCACTTATGAATCATCTCTTTTACATGGTAGCCACCACCCACATATGACCTTATCTACCACTCCTTTCTTTTATCCACATGGCACCACCACCCACTAACACCCCCACCCTTCTTTCCGTTTACCCATATGACATAATAAAATGAATGGGTTTATGATATGCTACCTATCTAACTAATACAGAAAATTCCAAGATAGAAAAACATATTCCCCACATATATTTGTATGTATACTTACATAATGAGAAATTTATCGTCTAACAACCTTTGCTAGGTAGGATCGATTGTTTACTGCCTGGTGGCCACTTTGCCACCTAGGTTGTCCATGGAGATAAGTCAATGCTCATAATCGCATTTGAGAAACAACAGAGCCATCTTTATGGAAAGACGATTACCAAAGTAGGAAACGTAGTTAAGCAGCGAGCAGGTTGACCCCTATGTCTAGTTGACCTTACCTTTTAGTATATTTACATGAACCATAGCAAGGGTGACCCGTCGGGTAGAGTGCAATATTGCTTGGTTCTCCACTTATCAATAATTGTATGGTTTGACTACTTGATTGTAATAATTCTCTCAAAGCATCTTCATCTATCTCATCAAGATTGCAGTTTGAAAGATGGTTAGGTTCCAATTAGTAATTAATTGGTACTTGTGGCGACTTAAAAAATTATGAGTCTTGAAAAAAAAGAGAAGCAAAAAAAGCATCCCATAATAACAAAGAGTAACTTAAATAGTCTAGTGGGATATATGGAACTAGTTTATGCAAAATCACCAATTTATGAATTTGTAATACTATTAAAAAGTGTATTAATTGACATTGTGCTGTGATCAGTTTTGCTTCTTGTGGTCTTTTCCCCTACCTACACTATCTGGGCAATATTTGCAATTGGATTATGAAGTTTATTTCTAGTGGTTCTAAGCTATCACCCATGCTTTTAAGTCATAATGCTTTTTTTGCTTCTTTTTTTTTTCAAGACTCATAATTTTTTAAGTCGCCACAACTACCAATTGTGCATTTAATCAATTATCTTCCATCAAAATCAATGAAACCAAACAAGACCAAGTTATAGGTGCACAATCAAATTAACCCTAAATAGAATCCAAACGTCTAGCAATAAAGAAGAACAAGCGGATTGAGAGAAATTGAAACAATTGAGGAATTTAGAGAGAGAAAGAGAGAGAACTAAAATGCAGTAGTTTAATAATTACAGATAGTAGTATATGATGATTGATAAGACAAGATGTATACATGTCCATTAAAAATTTAAACTGAGTGAGTGTTTATGAAATTGCTACAATTGAAATCATCTTTATATCTACACATCTTTGTGGATATATATATATATATATACACATTTTCCGACTCAAGTGCAGAAACAATTCAAGACTATGAATCCACATTGTAATAAAAATAAAATTAGTTTGTAAAACTAATATTTTACTCTAGAAACAAATTCTTCCATGTATACTCACGATGAACTATGATAAAGTCAAAAGAATTAACACT